TTCACCCTCTACTAAAGTACCCATTACTAAATTTTCGTTATCATTAGTTGAAATCGGAATCGCTAAAGCTGTCTTATGTGGGACTGTAAGCTACGTTTTAATTGGACACGTCTTTATGAAAACTATGACATAAAGGTCGGATGATTGGTCAAACGATATATCGTGACCATTGGAGGCGTGTCACACGCTAATGCAGTATTGTTCCATAAGCTTGTCACAAGCCGTGTGTTCCCATGGTGCCCTTATGTGCGGTCTCTTTTGGGGGTGCTTTGTATGAGTGCATAATATTATGTATTCTGTTACCAGCTCAATTAATATTTTTTAAGTAACGCACGCAACTTTCACAACGTTGTCATGTGCCAGTGCGTTTTTGTGACAATAACAGTAGCTAACGGTTTCCAGGCGAGGAGAAAGTGAATAAGAATATAACCATGCGATGCGAAATCTATTGTAAAATCCTACGAAGAGCTGAAGTTCAGTGACAGTATTCCTAAACTCGACAAACTATATACCGTGGACTACTTCGTGTTGCGTCCACTCTCCGATGTCAAACATTATTTAAGTTAGAGTAGGATGGATGTCGATGACGATAATTATATAACAAAAGTCAAAGTCCTACTACTTAATAATATTATAAATGTAAAATTTTATATGTTTGTTACTCAGTCTCGCAAAAACTACTGATCGGATTTTCATAGAGAAAAAGAATACTTTTTATTCCGGAAAAATTACAGGTTCATGTGGGATTGGGCCGCAAGTATTATATAAATCAGCGACTCGTAAGGTGCCGTTGATGATATTTTCTTTACATTATTTGAGTCTTCGTATCGCACCGTTCGGCCTTGCTGCAACAGAACAGATCAACATAAAGCAATTTGAAAATTCCTGACCAAAAATCCGGAGTTTAAGTATGAAACAACGATATTAAGTACCTTAGACACACCACGTGCGCTCAAAATGTGTCCAAATCAAGAAGTGCTTGAACACCAAGCACTTCTTGGTTCACAGTCACGCGCGGACCGCTGAAATGTAAAGATGCCGCAGAGCCCCCTGACATACTACGTAAAGTGTCGTTTTTTCGACAGGTATTTAATCAATGTTTGTTAATTTAACGCATTTGAAGCAAATTTTGTTCTAATACTATAAACTGATGTAATGGAAAATATTTGTGATATTCAGATGCATGGTCAGTTATATAGTCGTCTCTTTTCCTCGCGGTCTGAACCTGCTATATACCTGTATGCTAACAGCGCATTCACAATGGCGCATAGAATCAAAGAAATACGGTATATGTTCTCCCGCATATAAGTCGTAAAATTTTACGAGCTTGCATTTCGAACTGATTTAGTTTAAGATCTTGTATAGTATGCATTAAAGGTGTCTTTCAATGTTTAAATAATGCCTTATATTGTTTTTGACCACGTGATCATCTTACGGAGCTCCGTGGATCGTTCAACGTACCTTTTAATAATAATCATTTATTTGCTGAAATATACACTTTAAATTTGTTTGGACAGGTATCGGCCACGATTTTGTTCAAATTGTGGTATCTAGGGTATTTCATATCGTTGCTATGAAAGTATGAATGGTTTGGTTACCCAAATGTAGAAGCGACATCTAATTTATGCGAATGAATAAAATGTATTCGTTCTGTTTTTCTTCTATAATATTAATTATATTAATTTATTTTTTATTTAACACACATTATTAATTGATTTTTGGCCCTGTTCCCATTTTTACTTGGGTCGGCGGTGCAATATTATCAAGAACATAATAATTATCATATAAATTGAAAGCATCCTCATTGAAGGACTCCCAATATTTTCATTATAATATAATTGTACTACATTTATTTTCATTTAACCATTGCAGTACTACGTAATATGGTATTTTGACCTTTGGAGTTTTTTCTGACAATAAAATTGTACGTAAAGGGTTGTATTAACGTACAAGTATTATTGACTTTCATATAATCTATCGGATTGTAATGTTTAGTGACGAAAAGAATAATTTATTATTAATAATTATTAATCTTTATCGAATATTGTTAAATAATTACCTATTATACTCTCGCTTCCGTAATTCACTTTTTATTTTGTCCATTTGTAAAGGCTTTTAGTAATAGAGTATTTTCAGCATTCATAAAAATCATGGCGTAATGAAATTTTCTTATTGGAAATCTAATTCACTAATTCTACATTCTACAAAAGAATGAAATACATTCTGTTATAATATCGCATGTTATCGATAAAACGATTTAGGGCCTGCGCTGCGTTAAGCGGAAGCACGGTCCGACACTGCGTGAGGCGGGTCTCCCGTCACAGCGCTCCTCTATGAAATGTTCCAAATTGTACGCGGAGCGGACGTCCGCACCGTGCTCCCGCTTAACGCAGCGCAGACGCTTTAGATCTTTAAAATTGTCCATGATATACTTTTATTTTGTTAGTATTTTTTATGTTAATTTTGTAATGGCTTAAATTGCGATTGAGAGTCGTTTTTAAGTTTCCTAGCTATAACATTGAGAATCATTTTCATGCCAAGCATCAAATTGTGAATATGAATTGTTTGTAAAATATGTGGGCGTTGGTAATTCACTATTTGTTGCATGAATTTATTTCGTTTATTTTGCATGTGACACTAGTTTAAAATTATTATATAGTTTCTTTAATGCATAACGTATTGCTGGGTGCTTGAACCTGTCAAATCCAACAAACGTAATAGTCCATTATGATATAAGTGCGGTAAGTTGAAAAGTACAGCCGAGCCGAGGCGATATTGTTAGCCCGAGCATTAGGTGAGGGCTATAAGAAGGCAGAGGCTGTAATTATCAAACCGCACATATGTCATACGACGTTTTATAACACAGTTTCGAGGAAATAATACTACCTAAGTACGTACTTTCTGAAAACGAATTTGCACCTTTGTTTGTTTTCTATAAGATAAAATTTTGATACGCTTGACTGTAAGTATCTATCCGTGGATTTTTCGGGCAAGATGCTTAGCGTAGCCTTTTTCGACTTCTAGCGGTGTCAAATTACTAAATCCGTTACTACTTGACAATATTTTCAAATAAAAACAATACAGCGAAAAGAAAAAGAAATAACTTTTTCACAGATTAGCGATGCGCGCACTTCAACGCTTTTTTTAGGCAAAGGAACAAAAAACAGCCAGTGTTACTAATAAAGTAAATTAATATTTTTGTGAATTTGTTACCGATACATGGTTGTAATTTATTGTCAAAATGAATCAAATGTTTATATTTTATCTCCCAAAGTTAATTTTATTAAGAAAATGTTGGCTACCTTTCTGACAAAAAGTCTTTGCTAAGATTTAAAAAAGTATCGTTCATTTTTAGACGGAACATAATAAGCCGTGCGTTTTACTTTACATTACCGCACGCGTGTGTAATGTGATAGATTATGATATTGAAATTTATGCAATAAGAGACGCTTTACGAGCAAATGTGTTATAAAATACTTTATTAATACAAATAACGATTATCGTCATGTCATAAAGGCGCTTTTCATGTCAGCATAGAATATTTAAACCCACGATGCAGCATACCTTTCAAATGTATTATAAACAAACAACAACATGCACCATACATCTATTTTCAACCTTAGCTGTTTTCTTCATACTTATTTGCCTTTATTATCTTCCCTCATTGCTAACTACATAATTCAAATGAAAATTCTTTCAGAGTATAATGTTGCCATATTTTTTTAATAAGTGGTCGTATTTCTGTTACACTTACAAAAACAAGTGCTGTGTGTTTCTTTTCTTTTTACGGTAAGAACAAGGACATCATATTTAACATAAATCAGGTATAAATACGTATGCGATAAGGTTGTAAATTGAAAGCACGTCCCTCTTACAATATTGTCCGTTTTCTACTAGTATTTAAAAAAGAGATGCACAATACTTAAATTCTTTTAATTTTTATTGAAACCGTAGCGCAATCCGCTCGTATGTAACCACGCCCACAAAAAAGTCACTTGTAATATAGTAACTTGTATACATAGTATATTATAGTGTATCGTGTACTATTGTTGACATAGTAACATAGTTTTAAGCGTAAACGTGATTAAGCGTTGTAAATATCCTGTCACATAAATTATTGTATTTCATAATAAAATATTCGATCGAGAACCAATGTTTTCTTTTTCTATACAGCGATTTCGGGAGACACATAGAATATGTTAGTCTAGTTGATAATATTCTTTGCGCAGATAAGAAAAGCCTATCGGAGTCCTAGAAGCTGTAGTTATTTTTTGGCAATCTTGTACTATTTTTTCTGTAGATTAGAACATCAATGCCAAATGTGGATAGGTTAAGGTACGTCATTGATTTAGGTAGATGGCATCTCGCCTCGGCAGGAGGCTGCTTTCCGTCCTAGGCGCAGCGCACACCAGGAGAAGCGCGGCTAAGATATTGAGAAGTTAACTTTTTAAGTTAAACCCTAATTTCTATATAATAAGTTTAAATTTTTTATGGCAAACATGGAACAGAATAAGCGGCGCATAGAGCAGTGAAGCGGCCACGAGCTCCATGGCCACTCCGCGCGTAGTATCTTCGCTGCGCCTCTCCAGATGCTACTAGGACACTCGAGGCTAAAAGGTGGAGTAACAGGTGTCTAATTTTTGCATTTTGTAAACTCGTTCGATTGGAAAAAGGCATTATTTATATGTCCCTATATTTCGATTGATCCTCGTTTGGCGCTAGGATGCCGTTGTTTTTAGTGAGACAAGACTTGGCAACCATTAAGCAATGTTAGCAACACATTTGACTAACGTAGGGGCTCACTATGGTTTATAACTCATAATAATAACTATGTTTGTAATGTCTCTTCTGCTGGATAAACGATATTCCTGGATTTATTAATTAGAGAAATAGACGTATGAACACATGGTGGTCCACGTGGTCCACTCATGGTCCTCTTAAGCCTCGATGAAATGGGGCGAGTTTATAAAGTTACAAGCTAGCGAGTTCGCTAGCACCTTGTAAATTCTCCCCGTGTCATCGGCTTTTTACAATCTGCTGGCTTGTAGCTTGTAAACTCGCCTCGTGTCGACGAGGCTTTAGCCATTTTTACGATTATCGAAACCATATCCATGAACGAACACTTGATCAAAAACAATTCAATTTTATCAAACTTCTTTTACTTTTTGAAGTTTGCCTTACGTCATCATTATAACTGGGACGTGGGAAATATTTTTGAAGTGTTTACAAACTTTTGTTATTTACATTGTTTTTATTATTTATTTGTATAAAAGTAATGTGTAATCAAGTATTTTATTTATATCCATCTTTATGTCTGTTTATTTATGCATGCGAAATCATGTTCCTTTTATAAATGGTGAGGAAAACAAGGTTTTGTAATTTTACAACATTCGTTAGCTAAATAAAGAAAATTTGCAGTAACCCGGGGCGTCAGATTTTAAAATACGCCCCTGAAGATAAGTACCGTTTATTCTATGTTTACTGATATCCGGGGCTTCAATTTGTCATAGTTTTATATCCATTAATGGTATTTGAGAACTATTTGTAGCTCATTAGTGCCACCCGACATCGCTTTGCCGTGCGATGTCCACTCGTAGTCAGCTAGCAAACTTATTTGGACACCGCGTTGTCAACCAGCTAACGTCGGGCATAAATAAAGAAGCTATAAGTTTGTGTATACTCGTAGATGTTTGGCGATGAGCGTTGTGGTTCGTATGCTGGTGTGCACTGTGATTGGCGCAGCGATGGCGGTCGGCTTACACGATGACTCGCCCTACTGCGCGGTGCGGTACCGACGGCTCTGCCAGGGCAAAGGGCTGCACGTGGGCTGCCAGTTCCCCGATGTGAGTACGTAAGAACTGCTTTAAATACTATATTCATATTAATATTATAAATGTGAAAGTTTGTATGTTTGTTACTCAATCACACAAAAACTACTGAACGGGTTTGTACTTTTTATCCTGGGAAACTTTTATGTTCCTGTGGGATTCTCAAAAAACTAAAGTAAAATGATGGAGTATAAGAAGAAAGATTTATATTTTTGTATGTTTGTACAGTATAAAGTAAAAAACTACTGGACCGATTTCAAAAATTCTTTCACCATTAAGGTGCCAATGTGCACACCGTACGCACAACGCGCCGCATTTCCATATAGACTTAACGAAATGCGGCGTGTACGGTTCTGATGGAAGTGTGTGTTTATACAATTGCATACAATACTATGTACATTATCTCTGTGTAACAGGCTATATGTTATCGCGTTAAAACAAAGTTCACCCGCGCAGAGGCAGTATTAAGATCACTCAGTATTATTGTTTGTCAAATTTGGCCCATGTAGGAACTGTAAAACTGTTACAAATATAAATTAAAATATATAGGTGAGTATATTTATTCTGCCCGATTCAATCGCTCCAATAGTTTGTGGTAAAATCATGTTATTGTTGTTTGTCTTGATTTGATTCCAGCCCGGCCCAGGAGCATACTGTGTGAACTACTCGCCCATAAAATTTGAGGATAACCTCAAACACTTTATTACAAACTACTTAAACAGGTGATGTTAATCCTCTTATACTTGTCATAAACACCCTGGCAAACTTCTTGGTTATCAACCATAGACAACGGCGAATGCGCAGTAGCAAATTTATATACAAGAACGTCTACTGCGCAAGTTTATTTGTGGTTTTGCTCAAGAAGTATGCCGCTACCTATACATAATAATTATAAATCGTGTTTCTTTTCTTAAATTCTGTTAGCGTTATAATGTCACAAGATTGGACTTTATTCCGGTCGTAATCGATGTGATTTCATTATGGAGTTTCATTTTGGACGATAATCCACTGAGAATTTTTTTTCGTGACATGTCTTATTGTTTTTATTAGAAAGTCCGAAAAACAATCATAATGCTCGCTTAAAGGTTATCGGGTATCATAGTCTAAAGATGCTTACAGTATGTACCAAAGTATTGTTTGCGTGGAGACAGTAGAATAGCACTACCTTTTGGTATTGTTTATGTTGGTGAATTACTGCTACTAGGACTCCATAGGGTGGGAGATCGGGTTCAAGTTGGCATGATGAGGAGTGACACACTTTTCTGATGCTACAGCAACCTTGCAAATTACTTCCCAACTCCACTTGGAACTTGTTATATCTATTTTTATAAGGTATATTTAAAAGGATATTCTAATTTTGTAGACGCAGACAACGCATAGCTGTAGGCTCCGAAAGAGTTCGTGGCGGGATGCATTTACCAAAACCAGAGCTCATGATGATGGTGGTAAGGTTTCATTTTATTAAACTTAGTGTAAGTTTTATCCAATAATCTACTTAGTAGCCCTTTGCTGTCACTGATTCTGACTGATTGATGATGTAAAAAACAATGTTCATGATAAAAGTAAAACATCCGCTTTTTTAATTGAATGTTTAAAAGTTGTATTTTTCGATTTCATGGATCATCTTTTATTTTAGGAGTGGGACCGAGAGTTGGCATCACTTGCGCAGCGACTGGCAGACCAGTGTAATTTCGTCCACGACCAGTGTCGGGCAACAGGTATGAAAGCTTACTACATTTATATTAAACTTATTTTTTTTATTACTTCCTACTTTAATATTGAGGGATGGGTAGGTAAGTAAGGGCTCCGCTTTGCTATGGGGCAAAACATCTGAATGATATCAAAATATCTAATATGACCTTTTTTTTAGTAATTTATAGGAATTTTGTCATGGTTTCATAGAAAAGTTTGTTATTATATAGTCCGTTACCCGTACGCCGGACAAACGGTCGGCGAGGTGAGATGGCGCCGTTCTAGCGGCTCGGACGCACAAACAGCCCAGCGCGCCATCAGGCGAGTGCTCGACGCCTGGTGGGGCGAGCGGCGCCGCGTGCAGCCTGAGCAGCTCACCGCGCCGTTCAGACTCACCGCCAAGTATACCTACCGTTTCTTATTATACATCCCGCCAAACTTCTTGAGCAACAACTATAGACAAGGGAGCCTGCGCAGTAGCAATTTACTTACGTACTTAATTAATAATTAATTTACGTACAAGGGAGCCTGCGCAGTAGCAATTTACTTACGTACTTAATTAATAATTTATTTACGTACAAAAACCTCTACTGCGCATGTTTATTTGTATGTGGTTTTGCTCAAGAAGTTTGCCGCGACCTATACCATAATTACTTGGGGTAAATATTTCCTTTATTCCATTAGCTTAGCTCCATACATAGTTATTCATATGAGCAGTTTCAGAGCTGAGGCACGACGCGCATTACCCGCCTCTGTAGCTTGTATGCTACTTCTCTCATACAAATATGTTGGGACAGCGTGCCATATCGCCTGACTGTCACACGTTCCTTATCTCTACAAATGAGGTGTCTCCCAGGGGTGCAGTATGGGGCCACTTCAGTCAGCTGGCAGTTTGGTCACTCCGTGCTGTCGGGTGCGGAGCTGTGAGGCACGGCGCGCACTACCCGCGTCTGTTGCTAGTGTGCGACTTCTCTCATACAAATATGTTGGGACAGCGTACCATATTGCCTGACCCGCTGGCCGTCACGCGTCACTTACATCTACAAATGAGGTGTTTCCAAGGGGTGTAGTTTGAGGCCACTTCAGCCAGCCGGCAATTTGGTCACTCCGCACTGTCAGATGCAGAGCTATAAGGCACGACGCGCACTACCCACCTCTGTAGCTTGTATGCGACTTCTCTCGTACAAATATGTTGGGACAGCGTACCATATCGCCTGGCTGTCACATGTCCCTTATAATTACAAATGAGGTGTCTCCCAGGGGCGCAGTATGGGGCCACTTCAGTCAGCTGGCAGTTTGGTCACTCCGCGCTGTCGGGTGCGGAGCTGTGAGGCACGGCGCGCACTTCCCGCGTCTGCTGCTAGTGTGCGATTTCTCTCACACAAACATGCTGGGACAGCGTACCATATCACCTGGACCGTTAGCCCGCTGCCCGTCGCATACTGAGAGGAGACTGAGGTCTTCGTACCCACTGCTGTGTGCTTCGGTGAGAATGACTAAGCATAGTTTAGCTGACTATATCAGTAGCTAGTAGTAATTATGGAATCCATAAAATTGTGACAGGAATTTATTAATAGCACAAATTTATGAAGTTTTATCAATATTAACAACCAATTGATTTTCGTTATTGCAGTAGTATAGTAAGGGAAAACAGTCCACGAGCACAGAAAGTGGCTTCTGAAGTACAGAAGTCCTCGAGACGGACAAAGATCGTGGTGCAACAAATAACTCCGCCTGCTATTAAGTGTAAGTGTAATCCAGACGCGAAGATAGCTGTAATGCCGTTGAAAAGGGTTTCGCTCCAGCCATTCGTACCTTTCCGATTTGTACTAATCCTGTAGCTCGTAGCGCCAAGAAGAGAATCACAACATCAACAAATGCTAGTGTTATTTTACTGTGGTTTTCTGTAAGTTGTAAGTTACTTCGCCAAAAACGTGCGCTTCAATCGAGGCGGTATTGGCTATGCCGGATAATATGTAATTGCATCATCAGCCTATTAATGCCCCAACTGCTGGGGCACAGACCTTCCCAATAGATAGAATAGAGAGATTGGGCCATGAACCACAACGCAGGTCCAGTTCTGGTTGGTGCGACAAACGGCTTAACGTGCCTTACGAAGCACGGAGGAGTTGAAGATAAAAAACCCATCTGATGAGCAACCACTGGGAAAGTTACTTAACTTCAACGATCGCAGCCGACGCGCTTACCACTTGCGCCACCCAGCTCCTCGATTTTCGAGATTGAGAAAGATTATTCATTTAGTATTCCATATTTTTACTGTTCTATAGTTTATGTATCGTTCACCCAGGTTCGCTATCCGCCACCGGAGAGAAATTACGGTGTTGAATCCGAAGACTATTCGACCGACGACGAAAATGTGGAAGAGCTATCCCTACCTAGAACCTCTCCTCATTACTATAATACAACTCATGCGGTCGCAGAAAACACTGTCAAATATCTCACGACGACCAGAACGACTGTCAGAAGTGTGGATCGGTGGAGAAATATTGCTTTCCAAGGTTCAAAAACATGTTACTTTATTTTATAGCGTTGCATCTAATAAATGCTATAAAAATTGAACACATCGCTATTCGCATCCTCCTTCATGAGAACCTACGTGAACCGCTAGGGAATGGTTCCTGCATCTGTGTTCCCATATAATTTAAACAACAGTACATATAATATAGGGACCTTCAAGGCAAATACGTATTATTTGAGTTTGCGTGCTCCAGCTTAGACCGCATAGTCGATTAAATGCGCTCAAATCTTTTATAAAAAAAGCAGTAGGTTATACTTGCAGAATATGAAGCTATATGAATTTACCTTATTATTATGGAAAAGTTCGATGACTTGACGAAGTGTTTATAAGTTTTAAAAAAGTCTTAAGTATGTGGGCTTGTATTCAAATAAATAGCAAAATATGCCATCTGCAACCCTTACAGATAGATATCCAACTATCAACTTGTCCCGGTCTAAATATGCCTGAGATTTCTATATAAAAAAATTACTAACCTCTGGTGGATTTCCTGAAATTTTCTTTCATGAAAGGATTGTCTTGACAATAGGGATGTTGACGTGGTAGAGTAAACGAATTTTCATTTACTCCGTCAGTTAGATCATTAAAAAATATATACACGTATTTTTTCTTAAGGCAATCAATTAAAAAATTTACAAAGATACATCGCGACAAATTTTGGAAGTGGGATCTTGTGACGTCACTTCTAAGTGAATGTACCAAGACGTTACGTGATACGACATTTAAAATCAATATCTCTGTAATGTTTTGATAATATAAATAAAGAAAGAATACGTGTCCAATATTTTTTTTAATCTACCTGACAGATAAAGAAAACAAGGTTAGTTACCGGGCGATTTCTTACTTATCAATGGACTTACTCGTACTTAGTAACTTCATAAAGTATTGCTTGCCTACTGCTCCACAAACCCTGGGTTCGGATTCCTATAGGGGAACTTATTTGTGTGATAATATACCTCCAAAATCTTGAGATGTTACTATTGCTCGTACATTTGAGTTTAAGTGTCATCACCAGCTTATTAATGTCCCCACTGCTCAAGCACAGGCCTTCTCTATGGAGGAATAGGGAAATTTGGGCATGACCCACCACGCGGGCCCAGTACGGATTGGTAAGTGCTAACGACTGCAGATGCAGCCGGGGCCAACAGTTCAACGTGTCTAACGTGTTTTTGGTCATCCATCCAATAACCGACCATTGTGAAAGTTGCTTAGCTTCCACGATCGCAGAACGCACTATCTACCTGCGCTATCGAGCTCGTATTTTAAGTGTATCTCTAAAAATTATAGGCTATGGTGGCCACCTATCATCAGGCGGGCCAAATGATTGTTTATCACCTCTATAAAATAGAAATAATAAAAAATAAATCCGCTGTTATTAACACAATTTGACAGGTGCGACTCAGAGTCAGGCCAAAGGGGCGCTCATGTATAAGCTGAGCCGTGAACTAGGGGATAGGAAGAAAGCTGACAACAAAGTGATGCTGTTTGTCGACGATGCCAATTGGAGGTCCAGGGTGATGGCTGATGAGAAACAGTAAGGTTTATTGTCTTAGAGCATACGAAATACCAGAAGAAATTCGACAAGTCCAGGTAGAATAGTACCTAGTAAGTCCAGGCAGGGGCGCAGGTTTACCCTAGGGCCAAAGGGCCATGGCCTGGGGCAGCAAGCTGCGGCGAGATGGGGCTAAACCCATATAAAGGTAATAGTTACTTTGATGAGATTTATTAAGTTTTGGGGGAGGGGGGGTGTGCAAATCTTAGGTGGCCCGGGGCTCCAGATTTCCAAATTACAGGCAGGCGGTGGTTAAAAAGGGGTCGGTGAGATAAAAAGTACCCAGTCCAAGTCGTGAAACAATGTAAGTCAACTAGAGTTTTAAGAAATACTAGAAGATTTTCGGATCGTCCTTTAAGTTCCTAGTAGCATAATGAAGGGTACTTCTATTTCAGCTTGATACTGGTTTAAAATAAATGATTACTTCAGATTAGAAAAGAAGGAACAAAAGATTGATTTTGTTTATGTTGATGTATATTTTATATGCCTATTTCTACTAAGACTTGTCAGTCCCTCTGTATGTCAGTGGGCTGTATCTAAAGAATAAGTAGATACTAGAAAATATCTTTTAAATGATTTTAATGTTTGTGTACAACTTAATTTCATCCATCATTGAGAGAAAAGTAGAAGGAAAGGCAAGACGGAGGATAGCTTACACTTAACAAATTAAGGAGAAAACAACGTACAGTCAAACAGGGGGCGAAGATTTGGTAGAGGAGAGAGGCAAATGGCGGGAAATCCATAGACTGCACCGACAACTGCGTTGCTCTTTAATTCAGAAAGAGAGAGAGTCCAACTTGTACTTCACTGTTATTTTTTTCTATTTTTTGTCAGAATCATGCCTAATCATACAATAATTGAAATCATTACAGGAATTACCCATTGTATAGAACTTAAATAGTTTCGTAATATTTTCTCAAGGCTCGCTTTCAAAAAAAGAATACTTAATATCAACGATGAGATTGAAGAATCTACTGAAAAAAATAAAGAAGGTCGAGGCACCGCACGCGCCTCTTCGAGCTCAAACACTCTCGCATACAGAAGATATTCAAATATTACGGAACTGGTAAGCAGCACCTACTTCACACCAGTACCCTTAGCACGGAGCATTATGAAGCAGCAATACGAAGAATTTGAATAGTTTAATTCGGTCACGATACGTGTCAAATGTCAAGAAGATTTGTATGGAAATTTGAACAGCGCTACAACGGACGTATCGAGAATTAAAAATCTTCCATACAAAATTTCTTGACATTTGATGCGGGTTAGTCATTTTTTGACTGCATATTGCGAATGTTACTTGATTTCCACAATTACAGACAGAACGCGCTATTAACACTTAGCCATTGAGCTCCTTGGGACCTTAATCTGTATGCCACCTTAAACTCTCTTAATTTTCTATTTAATCAGAAATCAATATATCTTTATTAAAATTGGATGTATAGTACAACACTTTTGAATCGTCCAAACGTTTTTTTTCCTACCACTCGTTATTGGACATATTTTTTCGCTGCGTAGAAAAACAAAAACTCCACAACATTAAAAGTATAATGTAACAACATTTACAAATCATTATGTTGTTACAACGGCAATACAATCATGATTTATTGAATATAGAAAACCTATTGGAATGATTGGAACAGTTCAAACCCAAGCATTTTGTCTGTAATATAATCAGACACTTTGTAATAAGCTTTTTTAATAAGTGTTTTTTTCATACTATCTTTGAATTTATTTATGGTTAACTCTTGGATATTGCTTGGGACTTTATTGTATAAGCGAACACAAAGACCTAATGTTAAAGGGGAGGCAAACAAGCATATGGACCACCTGATGGTAAGTGGCCACCATAGATAGATGTTTGCTATACAAGAAATATACCCGGGCAATGTGCCTAGCCTGACGCAATACCCTACCCCCTGGAATACTGATACCTTTCTCACGGACAGAAACACCACCACCACCAAAAGGTAGTGTGGCCTATGTAAGGTGGAGGTTACTTCACCAGACGGGCGCTCCAATTCTAGCGGAAAACCAGCTATGCTAATATGACGTCATTTATATATTTGGTGCTTTTTGGTTGGGGTAGAGCTCTTTGGATCATTATCAGCCTTTTATGTGGCCTATGGATCAGTGCAAACCTTATTATTCATCTCTTATAGTCCTCCGAATCTCCTATACGCCTTTAATTAATTTTCTATTTGTTTTTTTTTCTACTCACTGCAACCTCACTGTTATTGAACATTGGACCTTGTTGCCTCCATCTCGACGGATACCGTCGAATTAATACCACATCTATAATACACTCCTCATCAATTATTGACGAAATCAAATTAATGAATGCCCAAAAAACTCCTCATTTTATTGACTTAATTTAATTACAGTATGTCGCGCGACACAAGTGGCATCCGACGAGGGACCGTCCGAAAAGGTGAATTGAATGTTAATATGATATTGGTGTCAATTCTGGCGTGATTCTCTAAACTTAAAACTAAATTTAAAATCAGTCTCTCCTTTTCATTCTGTATAGAGAATGACAAGGATACACTGTTGTTAAATTTAAGTTTAGATTTAGAGAATCGTGCTAGAATCGATACCATTGAACAAGAAAAAAATATCAGCACCCTTAGCACGAACCGATATCAATTTCGAATAGTTTGCGAGAGCGAAATGTCAATGTCAATTTTTGTATGGTGTACGAAGTAATCGTACAATAAATCAAATCATTTAGCAATAACCTAATTTTAACGCTTACCGTGTGTTTGCATACGCCGCAACGCTACCATTATGACTTTATACTTAACAATAAATCAGTGCATTTTCAACTATCACTCAAACCGGTCATTTTATTTCTTTTTCCCTAGCATACGACCTAAGAATATAGTACCTTTAGCATAGCATAACCGAGTATAATGACAATGCATGATTAACAGTGTGACGCCATTCTAAATCCAATATGGCGGCATACCCAAAATGGCGGACCAATCATTTTTAATGCATTCCTACAATATGGGTATCAAATTAAAGGGCTTGCTGAGAGTAACCCAAAAAAAATGTGACGTCACTCTCAATCCAATATGGCGGACTTCTAAAATTTGAAAATCTATTTAGAAACAGATATCTTTAACTAATTTAGTTGAAATTTTCTTTTTTTCTTTTTAGCGCATTTGAATAAAAGCTTGTTTTTAAAAAGGTTTTTTTTTGTATGATATAATTTGATATCTTGGCTCACTTTATTTTGAAATATAAACGAATCGGTTTGCGAGTCCTACCTGAGCTCTATGGTTTTTCTTGTTTCGGTACATTTTAATTGGTGTGCTTAAGTCCTCTTTTTGCTGATCGTTGATTAGTTCTGGGGTGTTGCTGGCCCACTTGCGCAGGTTCATTCCAGATCCCTTATTGAAACGAGTTGTTGGCGTAACTGTTTCGCGCGTATTAAATTAAAATCTCCACACAATAGATCATCGGTGTAAAAACAATTTTCTACCGCGTGAGCAGCTAGGGAATACTTTTTGGCGTCATCTTTAGCCAGCTGTTGGAGTGTGCGCATTGCTAGATAAGGTGCTGATTGGTGCCGTAAGTTACGGTGGTTAGCTCGTAGTCTTGGATTGGCTCTTGCGGGGAGTCTCTCCAGATGATCCTCTGCAGATGTTGATCAGCATCCCTTATCATGACTTGGCGGAACATTTTTTCGATGTCCGCAGTTAAAACGTATGTATACCGATGCCAACTTAAAATGAGTGCCATGAGATCCTTTTGTAGATTTGGGCCACAATTCATGAGATCATTCAAATTTTTCCCCGATAATGATTTGGCAGATGCATTAAACACTACGCGCAGTTTGGTCGTAGTTGAATCTAAGCGTAGCACAACATGATGCGGAAGATAAAATGGTTAATGATATCTGAATTTATTAACCTCATGTGACCTAATTTTCTAAATGCCTCCATGAACTTTTTGTAATCATAAGCTAGATTCTTTTTAAATCTTTGCTCAAGTTGCTTAAACTGCCCAATCGCCTTTATTATGGAGGTCCTGAGGTGTTGCTCATATCCAGGTTTTATTGGTAGGGCTACTTCATAATAACCTGATTCTAAGTGCCTAGTCGTCTCTTTATAAAAATCTTCGCGATATTGATCTTCAGGAGATAGTGAAGTTGCTTTGCTATCTATTTCCTCAATTTCCCAATATTTGGCGATGTCTTCTAAATTGTTGATAACGACGTGGCAATTAAATGATTTACTATGAATGCTTCCCGACAAAATCCAGTCAAGTTTAGTTTGCTGAGCGATAGGGTTTTAAGTTTGGTCTGGACCTTTTATAAGACCGTTCATTAATATGTCCGAATAAACACTAGCGTCGAGAATAAAGATTTTGAAATGTTATAGTCAGGATCGGCTAAGTTAATATGTCTAATATTTAGCCATGATTGTTTGTCAAAGGTGCAATTGGATAGGTTATTGATAAACTTAGTGATAACAAGTGCTTGCGTCGAGAAAAAATAGTCGCCGTAAATTGATTGACATTCAAAGTTAACGACTCCTTTGCTTTGTTTTGCTGCGTTTCTTATGCCTCTAACTGAAGCTTGATAACGTTGTCGCTCTTACCCTAACAATTGTGCTGCGTTTTCAGAAATTAGAGATATTTGTGAGCCCTGGTCTAGTAATGCTCGGAAGGTAATGTAAGTACCACCTGCGGCTCGGATTCTCAATTGGATTGTAGTAAGAAGAATTTCTTCATCCTCGCTGGCCACGTGATTCACGTTATGTCGTTTGTCAACCTTATTTGACGTCATCGGCGAAGTAGACGATTGCGAAGTTGTCGGGTTCATCGACTTAGTGCACGCGTAGTGTAATATGGTATTATTCGCGCCATTGCATTCTTTGCTTCGTTTTACAGAAAAGCATTTATTGCGATGTGCATGTAAGCAATTTTGACAAATGTTTAATTTCGTAATTGCTCTCAATTTTTGTTCTGAACTTAAATTCGTAAATTCTGGACTCTGATATAATGCATGATCTTGTTTGCAATAAGAGCACTTTGATGATGAGGATGTGGCAAATGCTGGATATGATTTTTGGTGATGAAATCTGTTCGATGCTAAATTTGGTTGATGATTGGTGCTGCTGCTAAATTTATGCTGGTTAAATAAAACTAGTTTTAACGGGTTAATGCACGAACTTTATTTATTCATTGACGTTTCGCAGCCTTTTCAGGTCTGCATAGTCAGAATAATGATTTTATATTTGAAAAAAATATAAAAAATCTAATTAATTAAAAAAGATGACGCCAAAAAGTATTCCCTAGCTGCTCACGCGGTAGAAAATTGTTTTTACACCGATGATCTTCTTCTTCTTCTTCTTCTTCACGGTGGGTGTTTTCCGCAACTCGACACCAGGTGCCTATTTTGCGTGTGAGGATGGCCTTAGTCGTGCCATCCCAGCTCCCCCAAGAAGCTCAGCAGTCTCCTGATGTCGCCGCAGGCCTCGAGTAGCGTCTGCGGGCTGCCCAGGTGTGTCATTCGATGTCTGGTCACGCCTCTGCACTGCAGCAGGACGTGAGTGCTCGTCTCCTCTTCCTCGATGCAGGCTCTGCACAGAGGACTGTCCGAGACACCTATTTTAAACAGATGTTTATTAAAGTGTCCGTGTCCCGTGAGAATACTCACTATTTGTTTCAGAGCATGTCTTGGTAACTTGCAAAACTTACTTGCCGTGGGTCTACCTTAGATATGGCCTCCCTGGCGTGCCAGCAGTCTGCAAGTCCAGCCCAGTATTCGTTGTGTAGTCGCAGGTACCGTTCCCTAATCCAACTTCGCAGCAGCCGGTATGGGATCGGTACGATTGGTTCTGGGCCATATACCACAGTGTCCGACCCTCTCCTGGCCAGACAATCTGCTGCATCATTGCCCCTTCACCCACTATATTATTATTATTGGAGTATGACCTCGTTTTCTCTGCCTACCTCCATGAGTTTGCAGTGGCATTCAAAAACCAAGCCGGACGTCATTACATTGTTGTCTAGCGCCTGGAGTACCGAGGCACTGTCAGAGAGTATCCGGATGTTTCTACTCCTGATTGCACGTTTTGTGATGGCCTCCGCTGCTCTGACAATGCCTATACACTCCGCCTGAAAGACCGTATTGAGGATGCCCAGGCTGTCTGATATATGAATGTTGATATCCTCTGAGAACACACCTGCACCAGTACCTGAGTTGGTTTTGGAGCCGTCTGTGTATACCCTCAGCTCCTTGTGTAGTCCTCGGTCAGGATTGTCTTCATATAGTTGTATTCTATATTTTTTGTCAAATACATACTGTCTAGGGATGATGTCGTTTCTCGCCATGAAGAAGGGGTATTCTTCCTCAATGCCTTTTAGAATACGTGTATGTGGCGTATTGTAGTCTCTCCGCAAGCCTAGCATATGGA